ACACAAAGGGTAAGAAAGCTTTCCATTTTTCTTTTTCTTTTTAAACCAAAATGCACAGAAAGTATAGAATCTTGAAGAATGACCTGCATTTATCATTGGCTCAATTGTAAAGATTTGCCCTGCTTTCATCACCCCAACTGCTTTATTCTCTGCTTCATGTGAAGGACACAATGGCAAACATTTGTAGGTAGATAGATTGAGAAGAGGTAAAAGCTCAAATGCATTACACTACATTAGTCATATGATGCTGCGCTTCTGTTATAATTACTTTATTGGCAGTTCCTTTAGGCAATGATGATGTATTAAAGGGTTTCTGTTCAAATGATCAAATATTAAAACATAGAAAAATAAATAAATATGAATGCATTTTGTTAAGGACATCAACTGATGGATACTTCCGTAGTGGGGAATGTTCGGAGCACAATGAAAAAGCTCCCCAATGCCATGACCACAGTAAGATTTCACCTGATTTCCCAAATAACGGGGCAATATCATGAGGATCAAATATAGAAAAGAAGAAAAACAAAAGATTCAATATGCATAAGATTTCCACAAACAAGACGCTTTCTAGAGTCGAGAAGTAACAATATCATCATTACCACTGAGAACCCTGACATCAATGCATGCCGATTGATAACTTCCCCAATTTCACGAAATCGTACTCCTGGTTTAACTGCATTGAAAAGAACAGCAGCCAAATAAACAGAAAATTACACGTAGTACTTATACACTATCATCACTTTCGAAATCCAACAACAGATACGACTTACCAGCCAAATAAGGGAAGCTAAAGTTTGATGCATATCTATCCACCAAATAAAATAAGTACTGAACTACACATTCTTCATTCCCGTTTATTTTATGGCAGCAGGATTTGGAGAAGGGAAGTTCCAGTATGTATAGTAATGTTTGTGATTTGTAACCAAGAAAATATTGTACAGCCCATTCAGAGTGTAAGAGGTTCTTGATTTGCAACATGAAACTTTTGTATGGGAGAGAGGAGGAGACATTTGATAAACATTTTCCTTGTTATGCTGCTCCTTTTATAAAACCAACTTGTATGATGAGGACAAAAGGAAGAAACAAACCAATGGTTCCCAGTCCTTTTTCTTGAAAATGAGACAGGTTAAAGCACAACTTTAGGATGTGGTAACTGGGAATAAATGCAACATCTCATTAGACAAGCTGGGGGAATACATTTCCACCATATACCTATAGATATTGCTTTCTCCAAGCACTCGTATGTACATTGAATCAGTTGTTGAGAAGCTTCATCTGTTTTCCCAACAATATATGTCTCGTTGAGATCACCTACAGATTGGACGAATATTATTATTATAAACAAGTTTTGCTCAGTATGATTCAGCCAACACATTCTTATCACCTACAAAAGTGAACAAATGCCACTAGTATATATACTAGGATTAAAGGAAATTATTGTTAGATACCATGAACACCGTTATAGTAGACTGTTACATCAACATTTACAATGTCCCCATCCTCGAGTCTCCTGGAAAGGAAAAACAGCAGATGAACTTCGTGGCAACTAGCATCATAGACCAAAACTACAAATCTACATAATAACTTGTGGGATTCAATCATCTTTAGCAAACTAGATCTTGAGAAAATAGAGGTACTTCAGCATTCATCAATTCAGCATACACATGCATGCTTGTGTAAAAGATTTCATAAAATATTAACACGTGGGACTTTACTACATGGCCCCTCCCTAATTTTCTAAAATCCATCTCCTTGAAGGATCATACACCAAAAAAAAAAGAAAAGGAAAAAAACAAAGAGAACCTGACCATTTTGAAAGGATTAAATATAATATGGCAAACTAATCAGTTGTTGCTTTCAAATAGAAACGTTGTCTGGCTCTGTAAATACTTTAGCTCATGAGGAGACACTTAGGGACATGAATTCCATAAGGGCTTGTTTGGTTCCGGTAAATGGGTTTCCAGGAGACTCATTTCCATGGATAGCACTCATACAAGGCATTTCTGCATTTTGGTTGCAGTCCGGAGATAGGATTTCAGTCTTCATGTGGATATCTGTATCGATCTTTTGAGGCCAAAACATGGAGATATGTGATCCACCAAAATATTAATCTAATAGTTAATAGATATAATAATCAATATATATTCTAATAATTATATATAATAATTATAAGGAAAGAGTTTATCTCAACACTTTAAAATGTAGAATTAATGTGCACCTCTAAAATCCTTTGAAAAAAGTTAGTTTTTGATGTTGGAAAAACATCAAGTTGATCCTCTCGACATCGAGATCTAAAAAAAAAAAGAGATATTCAAGTCTTAAAAATAGTACATCTTGCAACAATTATCTGGATTGTCCCTTTCCAAGATTTTCATACATTTATAGATCTGCTTGATTTGAACTATTTTTGGAGTTCAAAATTTTATAATTAGAGAAAAAGTTAAATTCTTGCAGCATCCTAAGAATTTCGACACCAAAGTTGCATCTCATGACAAAGTTTGCAGGTACATCTTAATTTGACCATTTAAGATTGCAACCTTATGCAAACCACACTCTAGTTACTATATATATATATATATATATTATACAATATTATATTAAATAATAATATTGATATATAGTATTAACGATACAATAATTATATATAATTATTAATTATTTTATATAATACTAATTATATAATAATATATAATATTATACAATCATCATCATCATCATCATCTAAACCTTACCCCAATGATTTGATGGGTGTTGAAAAAGAAAAGAGTCTCAAAACACTACATCGACATGGTGAGAGATGTACGAGGGAGCGCTAATTAGTGTACGAACAACTAGTGGAGAGACGAGTGAGTTTTTCAGTGATAATAAGTTTACATCAAGGGTCAGCATTGTCTTAGTTGTGGACGACTTAACTAGGCACATACAAGATGAGGTACCGTAGTGCATGTCGTTCATGGATGACATAGTTTTGATTGATGAGACTCACAATGGTGTCAACACGAAGTTAGAACTTTTGCGGGATGCTCTAGAAGAGGAGATTGACAGCCAAGAATACCAAAAAGAGCACACTTTCGATATCTTCGGTCAATAATCCAGGAAAATGGAGACATTGAGGAAAATGTCATACATAAAATTAAAGCTGGGTGGGCGAAGTGGAGATGTCCAATCAGAGTTCTATGTGATTGCCGCATACCAATGAAGTTGAAAGGTAGGTTCTATAGGACAGCTGTGAGATCAACTTTATTTTATAGGGTGGACTGTTTGGCAGTCAATAAACAATCAAACAACATACCCATAGAATGAGTCTAGCCGAGATGAGGATGACAAGATGGATAAGTGGAAAACAAGAAGGGATAGAATTCGAAACGAATACATTGGAGAGAATTTAGGTGCAGCACCAATAGGTGCTAAGTTGAGAGAAAGTAGACTTAGGTGGTGGCCACGTGTGGCGTAGACCCAATACATCACCTGTTAGGAAGTGCGAGTTAGTTCAAGTGGAAGACTCAAAAAGGGCAAGGGGTAGGCCCAAAAGGACATAGTTAGAAGTAGTGAGAAAAGATATAGGGACTTATGGCCTCATTGAGGGTACGACTCTTAATAGAGCGGAATGATGAACCAGGATATCAACCCCAAGTAGTTGGGAAAAAGCCTCTATGAGAATGATGATATTAAAATACTATTATCAAGGTTTGAAAAAACAGACAGGTCTCCTAGATCGTCAATCCCAAAAACCGGGTCGAATCGGTGGATTGATAATCCAGATTGAAGAATTTGTCAGATAGGCAAAATTTGGCATTAAAATTTTTTTAAGAATTTCTTTAAAATCTATTTTTAGATTTTATTAAAAAAGTAGTATTCATAAAAATATATTTTTATGTATTTCCAACAAACCTTATTGGTGAGGAGTTTTTTAGTATTTTGATGAAAATACATAAGTATTGAGTTGCAGTGATTTCCAACAAACCCAATCCAGTCTTAAGAATTGTAAATTTGAAAATTGAAAACATGGTATCTGATTGAAGCGTCTGATTCTCTCTGACAAAACCGGTACAGACCGCTCTGAATCAGCCGATTTTGGGAGGATTCGGCTAGATCACGATATATTACAGGATCCACAACGGGCAGGGCAAAATCCGATCTGGATCAGGCGATTACGATCGAGATCATCGATTTTTCAAACCTTGATTATTATGATATAATAATGTTAAAACAATACAAACAATGGACATACATCTTCCAGGGTTCTTATTGAATGCTATCCAAACAGATGACACCCATAGTCCAAGAGATGCTAATTCTAGGGAATACCAATTTCAAGAGAAGCATCTCCTCAAGACAAACAATTCCAAGGAACCAACGAGGCTTTAAGATGAAGAGTGAAGAAAGAGGCAATAAAGAGACAAGCTCAATTGCTCAAAGGGCCTCCAAACTACAAAAGGATTAAAAGATTTGGCAAGGCAAAACCCAAGCCATATCCTTTCCAACATTCTTTGTTTAACTCCTGCAGGTGATTGAACAATGTTGACTAGGGTTCGACTTCCACTTCCCCACCAAAGTCTTTCAATCAAGTTCTAACTTCCAATAGAACAATGCAATAGATATCCGAATATCAGACTCAAAATGCAATCATAGAAGTGAATGGGTTTTTTGGAAATCAACTCATCAAAAGACAACCTCTTCAGTTTGAAAGACAAATCTTTTTGTAGTGTTGTACTTCCATTTAAAATACTTTTGTTAATTCAATTTCCTAAGGACCTCAATTAGGTTTCAAACACAAGATATTAGAAAATAAAGTGTCTCACATGACATTATATCCTAATTTATGCTGGAGCAGAGTTATATGGATTGCACATGATGGTGTATACCTGGCATCTGGAATTCCATGGCAAATAACCTCATTAATTGACCTGCAAAATTAGCAAGAACAATTACATTTCTATCAACAAAAAGGAAACTACAGTTCTTTAATTTCTCTGTAATTGCCTAAGATAACTAGTGATATTAAAGAAACAAAATACCAACGTGCAACACGACTTTGGGAAGAAATGATAGTTCAGGGGTGATGGATATCCGCCTGCACAAACAGACCATTCTGCTCAGTGTTGAGAAGATTTCAGTAATCTAAAATCATGAGTAAGAACTACTGTCTTTGTTCAATAATGAAAGTGTACCGCCTGCTTTCCAAGGAATTTGACAGAAATTCAGAGAATATTTAAAGGGAGATTTACTCCTTGAGAGGAATACAGGCAAATAAAAACCTAATGAAGCAACAAAAGAAGATTAAGAATACATTGTTATTACTCACTGGCAAGGATGAACATGCAACAATTTAAAGAAAAGCAGTCCACATCGCGCCTAGGCCGGTGTATCAAAGGGTAGTGGGTGCCTAAGCTCCATATATAGGCCGACGAGGTGGGCCCTTAGGCAGGTACCAGCCATAGTCGTTCTTAGCAGAAACCGCCCTATGACAAGGGTGAATGGGCCTTTTTTTCTGCTTTTCAGGGGGAACAATTTTTTTTTGGCAGGGCGTAATGTAATCCCTGAAAACTATTTAAGAATTTAAAAAAAAAAAGAAAATCAAAATTAGAAGTACTCCCTCTTTTTTTAAAAAAAGATAAAACAAACTCAAGAAGTTAGAGAAATCTTCCCAAATTTAATTTTTTTGCATAGGATTCATAAATGGAGGACCAAGATTCATGTGGCAAACCCCAAATAATGGGGATAGGGTTTGCATGATGATGATGATAGAATTCGAGAAGATATTTGGATTTTGAATAGGCCATTGCTATTATCTTTTGCTCCTTGTAGTTGTTAGTTCAATCTTTGTAATTGTTAGTTCAATCTTACATTTATCGCGTTACAATTGTGAAATTTGATTCAATAGTGAAGAGTTCTCCAAGGAGTGATTTCATGCAACGGATCTAAAGTAATATAATGAAGCAATATTCAAAAATCATGTTACGGCCATTTCTTTGACAACAATTTTAATATACACTCTTTTGATTCTAATGAACAATCACATAAAAGAAAAATTTGAAAACACAACCTAAAAAGTACTTTTTTTGCCCAATTAATATAGGTCATCCATTTTAGTGAGACACTTAGATCTAGGCCTTAGAAGGATCTTTTTCCTTTTCAAAACTTTTAGATAGCTTTATTATTATTAAATTAAGAATGTTTTAAAAGAAAAAAATAATTTTGAAGTCATAAACGCTAACATCTTGAAATTCACCAAATGGACGGTCGGCATTCATTTTTGAAGGGGACTCATTTTGACCATATCTAGGGTGCAAAATTGAATTTCCAACAAAACAGTATTCATTTGTATTGGCCTAGCTTTAGTAGGGATTTGGCTTTCAGTAAAGTTTGATTCATATGGTAAGCTGATACTATGTTTTTTCCTATCCCAAAAAGCATTAGGATGTTCGCTACATATTGATGTTTCTATTCGTTTTTGTATTGATTAAATTTTTTGTTGTATTGAAGGCGTTTGTATTTGGTCTTCAATTACTTTGTATTTAACTTCCTGTTTAAGTGTACAAAGAAATCTCTCTTTGTCTTGTAATTGGCTTTTGACATTATTCAATTCTTTTAATTTAGGTTTATGTATGAAGTTGAAATGTATTGGAATATTTTGAATTGTTGATGAAATCCCTGTTTCATCAATGGTTATAGGATAGAGCAATGTTAGGAATGGAACTCCTAGAATTACTGATTGGCTTAATCCTTTAACCATGATAAATGGTGTATCGATACATTGATGATTATTACATACAGAGGCGTTGGATAATTTATACTTGATAAATAATCGACTACCATCTGCTGTATTTAGTATTTGAGTAGTTTTATCAAAGTATTTTGAAGGTACAAGTCCTTCATTGATACAATTGAGATCAGCTCCTGAATCTATAAGGGCTGATGTTTCAAAACTATAATTTTTGGCAACAATAATTTTTACTTGGACAAACCATTTTTGGACAACTATTTTATTTATTAAATTAACTGAAGGAGTTGGTAGTGTTAACTCTTTTGAGGACTCAATAGTTTCTATTGGATCAATAGTCTCTATTGGATTATCTGTAACCAAATCATTGAATTCTATTTCGTCTGTCTCAGAATCCTGTTGAGACATTTGTTGTAATTCTAATATTTGAATTCTTCCTTTCAATTGTACTATTTCAGTTTTTATTTCTTTAATCTCTTTTTTGAGATCAGAGATTGTAGGTTCTTTTTGAGAGGTATGTTGATCACTTACTCTTTTGATAATAGCAGAGAAATTATATTCATCTGGATCTTTAAGAATAGATGATGATTTTGATTTATTTTTTGTAATATTGATAAATTGGGTAATGATAGCTCTTTTTTCCTCAGGATCCGTTATTTTGTCTATAATGTCTAGAATAAAATTATCTTCCTGAGTGAGTGTGTGAACATTATGTTGGGGTAATGGACAACTACAGTCTTCTGATGATTCTGTAGTGGTTTCAGTATAAGAACTATCTGATCCTATAAGATCAAGATCATTACTATCTATTTCTTCCGTATAAGATCCACTAGAAGTAGAGGAGGAAGAATCATAGGATATTATATTTTTTAATTTTGATTTGGTTGTATCATCTAGATTCAATGAGTCTATTTTCTTTTTTAATTTACATTGGTGTTTATAATGTCCTATTTTACCACACTTATAGCATACTGGGAGTTTTTTCCTTTTCTTTGTATTTGGGGAAAATTTATTAATTAATTTTCTCTTGGTCTTTTTATAATATTCTTTGTCCTTATTCTTCTGAATATTGAGTATTATTATTATCATCTTCAAGTTGTAATGTACAAACTTGGAAGTCCTGTAATTCTTCTATACTGGGTTCAGTATTAGAAGTTGTAGGATGAGATGTTGATGTATATGTTGGAATTACAATATTATCTCTGGTCCTATGTGTTCCTTGAAATTGTATTTTTGAATTGGATGAAGACATTTGATTAGGAGGAGGTAGTATAATTACATTTGGGTTGTGAGAAATAGATTTTCTACTTGGTATTTTATTTTTACTATTTCTCTTCCTATTGATGTCAATATCATCTTGGACTTGTAAATTTGTAGTTTGAAATTGTATTTCTACATTTCCATCTGTATGTTCGATGATATGGTTGGGAATATGATGTTGAGGAATTTCTTGTGGTTGATTGGCATTTTGTAATGCCCATGATTGAGGTAGAATTATATCTGACCATTTTATGGTTTTTGGTACTATCATATTAGATTTTTCTATATTTGTTTGGAACAAAATTGTTTGATCCTTTTGATCAAGTTTTAAGGTATTGGGACTTAATGTATTCATGACCTTATAATATATTCTATAGACTATAGCAAGATTCTGTGAACCATGGATCATATTGAATCCATGTGTTTTGAGATTTATTGTCAATATATCTAGGATATTTGGGTCGGTTAAAGAAACAGAAAAATTAGGAAAACAGTTAAAATAAATTGGACCGCTACAGAGGCTGGATTCAACCATGCCAAGTAGAGAGTCGGCGAATATATTGTGTCTTGTATCTCTTAGGCATACAAGCACAGAAGTGTTCAACCCTGGTCGGGTCAAAGGTTTTACTGCTATTTGAATGAGGCCAATGTGTAAATATTTGTAATTATTTTCTTTATGTTTTTCGATTACTTTTTTCGAGAGTAGGTGAAAGTCTTCTTGATGTTGTGTTACTGATAGACTTTCTTCTACAGTCTTGATGGCATAACCCATCTTAAGTTTAAATGTTCCTTTATTATAAACATCATGTATTGGTACCTTAGGAATATTCCAATTTTAAATATTTTCCTCAATATCATTTATAATAATTTGTTCTTTATTCTTAACTCTAAGTTTTGAAGATGAAGATGCAGTTTTACCAGTAAGATTCTTTATGAGATTTGCCATCCGTAGGTTGTGGATAATGACAATCTGGACATTCAGTGGCCTTAGCTTTTTTCCCTAAGCGGCTCTCCTGGCCTTGGCGGTACTTTTCGCATCGACGTTCACTTGTCTCTTGTCTTAACTCTCGGACCAACTTTCTTGGTGGTCAATCTCACTTGGTTTTTTATAGTAAAATGTAACTTTATCTTAACCTATGGAGTGAAAAGAACAGTTTTACAAATTCTTCAGTTGTAACTGTTTGCACAGTTCCACTGTGGAATAGTTCTACTGTTGTAATTTGTTTGACAGTGTATCACTGTATGG